TTTGAAAGTGTAGTGAGAGAAGCGGTGAATCACGAAACGTAATCTCACGCCTACCGTCGCGCTGCAAGCTCGCTGTTCTCGCGTAGCTGACTTCAGGACAAAGAGAAAAAGAGAAAGAGAGAGAAAGAGAGCGAGAAAGGAAAAAAGAAAAGAGATAAGGCAGCTGTACGGCGGGAAAATTCAAAGTGAAATTGCGTTCCATCCTTAACATCCTTCAGTAGGCTTTTCTGTGCTTCTGTGCAAGTATAAGCTTCGATCTTTCTACGAGTTGTTTATCTCGTATCGCTCGCATGCTCAAAAGAACGTTTTTTCTTCAACGGTGGGGAAAGCGCGATCGTCCGCGTCCTTGGGAGAGGGAAAAGGGGAAACACAAAAAGAAGAATCAAAAGGAGGGACGATCGTGCACCCCGCTGTCGTTTGTATAATCGTGCATGTTTTTTTTTCCTTTCAATATGCTGTTTTAATCGGTTCTCATTATTCGCTTTGGACATTGTTACCTCATCCACGTTCGATCCTCCCTCAAGACGCACCCGTCTCTTTGTCGGCGAGGGCGATCCGGGAGATCGGGCGGACTGGTGTCATCATTTTTAAATTATCGTATTGTGTGATCACCGTAATTTTGTAGATATTTCGGTATCGCCCTGGAAGACTTGTTCGCGTCCCAGACGGTGAAGATTCCTTTTTTTTTTCACATATCGTCTCGAAAAATCGTTGTATTTTATATATATTACAACGTTCGCGTGTTTTTTTTTTTTTTTTTCGTATATAGTTTCAGATTAATTAATCCACCGGTTGATCGCGGCGAAGTCTCTCAGCGTCGCGATCACTGCATGCGCATGATCGATAGAATTCGTAATCATGTACACTGTTAATAGTGAGCTTAAGCGACATAGCATTCGTTGATACGCTAATCGATATAATCGACGAAAGTGTTCTCGCCGACGAGAATTCAGGAATTATCAGCAGCGGAAGGACAAATCTTGGGGAAACACAAAGATTTATCTCTTGCTTGCATTTACTTGTTTCTTGCATAGCTCCAAAGAGATATTCTTAAACGGGAAGCACAGACTCTTACATAACGCATAAGAAAATGTATCAATCGAAGTCCTTCATTTCCTTTCTTTCCGTGAAATAAAGAACTGTGATTGGTTCAATTTCTTATGCCTTATATGTAATGTGTTATGCAAGAGTCTGTGCTCCCCGCTTTAATCTTGAATTTTCTTTCGACAATTTATCGTACGTTTGAAGATTTTTATATAAAAAAAATGTATATCTTTCTCTTTCCTTTTATTATTGGAACTACAAATGTTTGATATTTTTAATTTTTCACTTCACTGATCGGTTTCATAGAATTTGCAACATCTATGTTTCCCAGCTTCTGGTCGTCTCCGCTCGTCTCGAGAACACGTCTGTTGTCCACGGAAGCATTTCGATGAATCGTCGTCCAGCAAAAAACCAAGTTTTGAATTGTTCTTTGTCGGTCGTTTAATGTGGACCGGCGAAAACAGAGATAATTGAAAAAAAAAGACATAAGTAAGAGTATAGTATCGAACTGGATAGTGTCGAACTGCTCATTGGAACTAATCGAAGAAGTGAAAGAGAAAGAGAGTGTGCGTGTGTGTGGAAGAGAGAAAGAAAAGAGCGATAGACACTTTTAACATTAAGCCGTAAACTAGCATTAATATTACAATCGGTTGTGATTGATTCGATGATTGTTTGCACCGTGACACATAGACACTTAAATTGTTATTTCTCGAAGGTTGCACGAATATGCGGATGAACCAGCATCCAGAACACCCACAGAGATTCCTAAACAAATTCGCTTGTACAAGGTGGTCCCAATTTTTGAAATTTTTATCTATACTATTCTTGACAGAATATAGAATAAAAGAATCGAGAGTTTAAAGTGATGATTGTCTTCAATTTCATAATTTTAATCGAGAAACACAAGTATCGAAAATCATCGAAAATTGCAATCTATGCAGTTCTGTAGCTATCTTCATTGTCTGAGAACTTTATTTCCCTAAATCTTTTAAATTGGAGATTTCTGGATTTTTGAATTTTTATGGCTTCTACGCACTAAACGCGGCAAGAATTAGACCGAGTTCAACTTTTTCCGTGCGAACTCGGAAGATATTCTTTCCAGAAAAGTGAGCGATTGATTAACCGCATTGCATCTTGCCGCGGAAGTATGCAGGAGCCGTTGGATTTTCTAAATCTTTGAATTTCCGATTTTTCCTAAATTTTTTCATTTTCCAAGTTCACTTGTTTCTTTTTCGTTTTATAATTATAAGTATTATATAACTGATTTTTCCAGTTTATCATATTCTATTTTTCGAAATTTTACTGAAATTTTACTTAGTTAATACTAGTATCTGTAAATGTACATATATCGGAAGTGAACTATTGCGTTTGTACCACCTGTTACAATTTCTCGTGAAATCACGGCAAAGATGGTCGTGCGAAAATTGTATTGGATCGCTTGTTTCCGCCATTTCGATCGGCTTTTGATCATATCATGAACAATTTGGTATGAGTTGACATTTATGTTAGAGTACAACATGTCTATGCAGCACCAGCGCAATCGCGCGGACAACATCCGGAGGACAGACAATTTTCATTTTTTAAATATCTGCTTTTTAACTTTCCAGTAGTTTTGTAATTCGTAAAAAAATTCTTTTATGTATCTATTTGAAAAACGATTCTTTTTTCCAAGGATTTCGATAAATGTCTTTTGAGAACGTTATTTTATTGATAAAGTCAGAGAGAAATTATCAAGAGAGAAAGAGAAAGAGAGAAAACGAAATTATAAAGGATTTAAAAAAATAAAAATTTCTTAGCAATTTACCTCAAATTCTATATACGCAAATTCTATGCACATTTTTCCTCTCTCCAAAACGTTGCAGCTCAACGTTATTACATTAACGTAGAAATATCCAGAAGGATAATTGGCCTCCCGATGGCGACGGTGCGTGGCGCATGGCGCGGTTTAGATAATTAAAAGAATTAGAGAAAGAAATAGGCGGCCGAACGTCTCGCGACGTCGCGATGCGGCCGGTCGCCAACGTTACTTACTTACTATTACACACGATTCCGAGGAACTTTTAATCATGTTTAACCTTTATCTCTGGATATTTGCAGAAATTTGTGGTTTGCTGAGTCTTGTCACGACTTTTTGAATGTGTGGAGCCCGATATGCATACATAGTCCACCGCTATGTATGCATATATAAATATTATATATATATATACATAATCATCGTACCACTATACTCATTGTATAAATTACACATTCACCGCCCAAAAAAAGAAAATAGAAAAGAAGAGAAAGAGAGACATATAGAGACTCTTCTTCTCGGCTCGACTTGTGAAATCGCATCTCGTCATTGCTGGTGATGATGAGAACGGCGATGATGACGAGAACGATGACACGATGACAATGATGATAATGATGATGTTAAGGCGGACTGCCGTTTTCATATCGCGAGTCCTTCGAATACTTGGGCTTGTTTTAACATCACTTTTTGGAGCAACCGTTATCCTTCGTACCTGGCTTTATTTTAGCTCTGTTTTTGTCGTTTTTCTGTTTTTTGAACACGGTCGAGCCTCGGGATTGATCGATTTGCATTTGGATTAATCTTCAACCCTTTATATTCGAAAACTACACTACTTTTTCAAATATTGTTGGAAATTAAATCTAATATAAATTAAATCTAATGTAAAGATATTGTTGATAAGTAGATTAGAATATAACGGGTTAATGATTGATGAAATGAAACAGATGAATAGATTGTTGATGTTTTGGATAAATGCAGAACGCAATCAAACACTTTCGAAGATGCAAAAAAACAGTATCTAAAAATAATACTAATAAGAATCACAAATCTCAATTTTGGTGCAGATCCAAGTTTGCGAGATCTTTATATAACAAAAAGATGAGCTGACTTAAGATAAATAATTAAGATTAAGAAGAATAGAATTTCTCTGGCAATAGAATTATTCTAAATTTTATGCGATTGAGTGTCAAGCACTCTACACTGCAAAATATACCGATCGATATAACGTAGCCTTATCTTCGTATGGATTAAAAAAAGCATCTATTTGTTGCAAGAATCCAAGACGTTAATAATTTATCTTAAAGATTGCACATACTTGAACGGATGTTTGTTGACGCCTTACTTACATGGATCCCTCAGGCTCAACCTTTTAGACGAATGTATTTGGCTTCTACCTTGATTGCGTAACGCTATTTGCTTTGAGATCGGTTTCGTATTAAATCTTAGTTTTAGAAGTAAAGGTTGCTCAATGACGAATCATTGTTCGAGAATAATCGTCTGAATTTTCTGTGAGCAATGATTTTGAACTTCAACTAACAAAAATTCATAAACTTTTAAAGAACATTCAAATTCATTAAAGGTTGGTATCACATGAATTCTTTCTATTCGGGAAAATTTCTTTATCGAATTATTCTCGAGTGCGATTCGTTTTAACTCCTTGATCGTGGATCCATTTGTGTGGACGATCTATTATCGATCTCGATGGATCCTCGAATGGGTATGGTCCAAGATGATCAACTTCTCGGAAAAAAAGACACTCCAAAAATTGAAAATCGAAATTATCAGATCTAAGTTGATAAAATTACTGGCTTTTTTTTCTACAACTTTTTTAAATTGTATCTTTATTAATAAATATGGATAAAAATTTATATTAGTAAATATGGATAAATATATTCAGTTGCAGTATAAGTATATTTAATCTTTTGTTTCTTATTTAAAAAATATTACTCTACGGAAATTTTCTTCTCTTTAAGTAGATAAGTGGGATGTTCAGAATATCTCAAACAAATTTTATTTTATAATAATATTTTTTAATAAAGTATGTGTTAAATTTACATTATTTTATTGTTATAAGATAGAGGAATGTAAAATATAAAAATAATTAAGCTTTTGGATGATTCTTTTTATTTTTCTTTTCCAGAGAACAAGGTTTATAAGATAATTAGCGTAGAATGCTGTAGCAACCTACTAAAAGGTTAATATCTTCTCTTTATTTATATTTATGAAAAAGGATTTCAAAGATTTCATGTTTGGGAACAAATTTTTAAATAAATGCCAAAATGATAAGCCAAAATGATTAAGAAACACCAGTCACTTGTGTGGATACACAATTTCATAAGAAATAAATGCAAAGATTGAATAGATGTCTTTCGGGATAAGAGGAGTAGTTGGTCATCTTGTAAATGTTTTTATAAAGAAGCCCGTCTGCGCCCCGGCAGTTTACGCCGGGCGAAATAGAGCTCAAGGAAGGCCCCGGGAGCGACAGGCGGGCGCGATATCTTCGGTTATTTCTTTTCACCATTATTTAGTGACTAACATTGTTTGAGCTTTGAATAGTATCTTGATCAAAACGGTGTATGTCATGTGTAAGATATACTTGGGTGTGGGAGTACCACTCTGGAGATCGGCGGCGCATTGGACAATCTCCTTCGATGTGGCGAGAACACGTCTTTCATATTATCTTTGGACACGTTACCTGAGAACGAAACTTATCTCAATGCTATTAATTCTGAAAGAAATATTTCGAATTAATGAAACATCGAAGTGGTTATAAACTAAAACAACTTGTACTTAACAGTAGCTGAAAGTGGCTTTCAAAGAATCGTCTGGAAATGAAATGTGAATTGTACGATGTTCAAAACTATCATCTTAAATTGGGTTTCTTGAACACTTTTTTTCAATTATTCAGCTTGTTATCACAAATATCACTTTAACTTCAACTTAGTTAAACACACATATTTTAATGTGTATCTAAAACTCGAATTGCTGAATTGATTTTGGCTTTTAGCAATTTGTACTATTGTGCTGTAAATCACTAGTATGGATTATACTTATCAAGAAATATCAAATCCCCCAAAAAACGTGAATAATTGAAAAATTGAATTGTGAAAATTGAAAAATTGAATCATTTCTAACAGCTACAAGTAGCTGAAAAACAAAAATAAAAAAAAAATTTTATCGAATTTGTTCAGACCACTTTGATATTGAGACGGTGATGCAGAAAAATGGAACTGGTATGGAACCACAACGAGGAAGAGAATCCAATCGCGCCCCTAATCTCGACGACGCGCTCTACGTGTGCTCGACGCGGACGGGATTTACGATCTGCCAAGATTATGTGCGGATTCCGTTCTTCGGTGCCGCGTCGAGACGCGGACGGATTGCGCCGGCACTCGTCCTTTCTGGCAGTGTGGTACCACGTACCATGTTGGCTTAGATCGAACACACACACACATGCTATTCGCGACCTGCGAATTCAGGTAGAGCTGCATTACGTATTACCTTATGTTACAGCGTATCCGGTGGCGCCGCATCCACCGACCGGCTTTGTTCCCGCGCCGACGCAACCCCCGACTTATGGTGGTAAGATAGATTTTAGAAGATCTTATAATACAAGTTTAAATAGTAACAATTTAAAGTTATACGTACTCTCACAATAATAAAAGGTGAAGAAAAAAGCGCTGTAATCGTTGCGTAATTTTTATGTGTAAATCTTCAATTTACTTGGACGTTTCGACTCACATTATACATATTGTTTATACATATTGTTGAGGACTCAAACGTGAACCGAAACATCCAAATAAATTGAAGATTTATACATAAAAATTACACAACGATTACAACGCTTCACTCTCATTAGCTCGTTTTCTTCACCTTTTATTATTGTGAAATTTTATAATCTCTTACAAATCTTACAATTAGCATAAGACTGTAATAAGTGGATAATGCGGACAACGTTCGTCCGTTTGGATTTTATCTCGTTTCTTTGCCGATTGTTCAAACATGCTACTTTATGTTGGCTGCATTCTGTAATCCCGTAAACACAATAGGTGTAGTAAGCTTTAAGCTTTTAAGGAATTAAACAATCATAGTTAATTGTTCTTCTGACATTCGACTGTGATTGATCAATTTCTTAAGACTAAGATTTACTACACCTATTGGGTGCATCTAGATGCGCAACCGCTCACTGGATACTCAGGAAGCTCTTTCATCTGATTAGTCTATATTTTAGAATTTAACAGAATATGCCAATCAGATAAAAGAGCTCCATGAGTACTCAGTGAGCGGTTGCGCATCTGGATGCATCCAATAGCTGCGTTCAGCAGATTCAACAGTTGAGCACTTGCTGCTATTGATGTATTCTTCACCCAGATTTAAAATGCTGATTAGATCTAAAAGAATACACCAATAAGAGCGAGCGCTCACTCAACTGTTAAATCCGCTGAACGCAGCCAATGTGTTTGCGGGATAAAATGCATGATGTATCATTTTATCCTTAGTTTAACATTTGGTGAATAACGAGAGTAAAATGATACATGCGCATCATACATTTTATGAAAAATAACCGTTATTTTCGAGAAAAATGCAATACAGCTATACGAGATATATCCGAGAAATAAATACCGATATTAGCAAAATATCCAAGTGATTATGAAGGAGTTATCGAAGCTTTTACATGTCTTTTGTTTGCCTACTTTTTAAAATAATTATCTTTTAAATTGAAGACTCTTTCACGCATTATGAATTTCGTCTTCTTTGGATTAAAAGAAATTGCTAAAATAAGAAAAACATGGAATTTGCGAGAAGTGAATAGATACAATCAGAAATTTGGGAAAAATGATGGATTAAAATTGATAATACATATTTATACGGATGTAATGATTTCTTTCTTTTCATTTCGTTTCTTTTGATTATCATTGATCTAGTCTAAATATATTTATCGAATTTTTATATTTTTTCATTTCATTTTTTTGGGCTAATATTACGTCTTTTAACATTCCGTGGAATGAATACATGGACCCGTATTTAGAACACACTTATAATGATGTTAGCGCGTATTTATAGTTTACATTTTATTTATTACAGAAGTTCAGAAATAAAAGCATTTATTTATCGAAAAACGTATCCATTTATGGAAGGCGCGAGCCATGATGTCAGACTTTTGCTAGAACTTAAAGAGAGAAACAGAAAAGGACACAAGAGAAGATTAATTTGAAAATCTTTTGAAAAAAAAATTCAGTCTTAGAAGATTGAAAAAGTGTAAATTTTCTTTTAATTTCCTTGTTGATGCCATCGATAAATTCGAGATAGTTCTGAGAGAAGTTATACTTTCGCGCTGTTCAGGATGATAAATCCATTTCAAAACGAATTAAAGTTTTATCCTTACTTTTAAATCTATCTTTCAAAAGTTGCAAATTCAGACTCAACACTTCAGACTTCAATCCTTTTCGAAACTCATATATAACTATATAACTAATAGCAGCGGTCCACTTCGTGCCCAACTGTGTACCTAATTTATCTAACGCTCAATTTATATTTCAAAATAATTAAAATTATTTCTGAGGCTGACAAAACTGTGACTCATAAAAATCATCTGATTGTTACTTTACTTTTCGATTTGACAATATATTAGACTGTAATACCTACCATCAGTAAAGTAAAATTTCTTGTTAATTTATCGCATTTTTTATTTGACTTATCAAAATGTATTTAATCATTCTGTGACCGCATTTTGAAGTTTTTTTCAATCTTGTCATATTTACTTTTGCTCTTCCTTCAAATGTTTTTTTCAATTTGTATAGAATTTTATATGTTCTGCTATTTTTCTTGATTATTTAACAAATTAGACGTAATAATGCAAGACGATTTATAAATTCGAATTCAATGACCTAAAATTTATAAGAAACAGTTATTCTGGTTTTAATTAATTAAAAAAATTTATTTTATGATTCTACATTATCTTATTTATCCTTTAATGCTCGTCTTTGATTAGTTCCTTTTATTTTGAATTATTTATACTTTGTAAAAACAAGTTTTATCTTAAAATTATATTCTGAATTTTCTTGACTTTTCTCATTCATCTTGAATAGTCGATAGTGGACCACTTTTGTTTTCTTTAACCCATACCATTTATGTTTATTCTACAATGTGCTTTTTGTTGTCTGTTTCTTGATTTTCCCTTTTAGCGGCCACAATTTTATGTCTTGCCATGTGTTTCTTGTTTCGAAGTTCGTTAACTTTTATCTCATGCAATAAAGAAAACGAAAAATGATATAAAAAGAAAAAAAGTAGTAAAAAATAGCAAGAAACAAGATACAAGCATATTGTAAAATAAACTTTATTTCTTCTAATTATATCTGTTTTTTTTTATTGATGAACTCTCTGAAGTGATTGCAACACCGGTGCAATAAGTTGAAGTGAAACAAGCTATAGGTCTGTTCCTTTTAGCTGCATATCTTGCATAGTTGATCTTTTCTTTTTTTTCTCTAACAGAAAAGAAAAAGAGAAAAGATGAATCGTGCAAGAAATTTAGCTAAAAAGGATAGGCCTTATATTTGTTTTACTTCAATTTATTGTACCATATGCACCAATTCAGAAAGTTTTTTCCATAAAAAACAGGCTTATAATACTGATATAATATCACTGATTACTGCTATATCAGTGATTTCAATCTCCAACACTATAATTTGCGAAACTATAGTACATGAAAAAGAATCATATTGCACAAACATCGCGTCTTATTTAATCCGAGAATAATTATATTGCTTTTACATCCCAATTAAAAATTGCTATTATTCAATATGTATTGCATATTATTGATTATTCTACACGATTTGTTTGCATTTAAGATCATTAGATATAGATTTACTCAAATTGTTTTTTAATAAGGAGAAAAAAGAATTAATTATTAAAGATAAAACATAAAAATTGAGCTCTCGAAATGAAAATAACATATAATAATTGGGAATGGTTCACTTGTGCATACTATTGCAATTATCCACTGCCAATCACAACGACTTCTGCATAGGAAGGTCTTTTTATTTTTTTTTTTTCTAGCACTGTGATTCGCTCGTGCGCAATTAACTTGTGCACAATTGATATACACCCATAATAATTAGTTAATTAATGGGCGAATGACAGCAATAACAAGTCGTGATAATTACAAATAGGTATGAATTCTTGATTAGTAAAGAAAACTATCACTGAGCTTTTTCTCATTGCTGGAATGTAAAATCACCTCAGTTAACTATAATATTTTCGGGTTAAATATAAGATCCATAATCACATCTTATTCATATCCGTTATGTATATATGAATTCATCAAAATTATAACAAATTTGATCATTTTAACTATAATATAACATGTGTGTTTTAACTTCAACTAACTGTACGTTACACGTAATTTGCTGACAATAGACTATTATTCTATATATGTATACCTATATATTGAAAGTCTTGAAGTATGATTGAATTGTGAAGATAGTTATTTGACTTAGGGACAAATCTCTTAATAATTTTCTTTTTTGCAATTTATGAGATAGACGTTCCCGCCTGTTAAGTCTTTTTTTTTTATGAATAATTGCATACTAATTGTAGTATTATAAAAAAGTAGTGTGTTATAGGAAAATCGTCCTTCAATGTGTATAATTTAATAATATAGGAGTAGCCTCATACTTATGCAATTTCTTGCACAATCGGTTTTCTGAATGTATATTGTATAAAAAGTACATATTGTATAAAAAAGTACATATATTGTATAAAAAGTAAATGAATAACATATGTACGTTACAATTTTTGAAGTCCGAATTTATTTTGAACTCGTCTAATATTATGTTTTGCTCTGAAAAATCTTTGCAAATCGATGTTTTATTCTAAAACAATATGTTTCTGCAACTCTATTTATAGCCTGTTAGGAAATGTTTCTATAGAAGTAGGTGAAACAGTAGAAAATAACAATATTTCGCATTCGCGTGCGCGTGCTATGCATTTAGTTCTTCCTATAATAATTAGAATTTTTAAAAGTTACGTTATTTTTATTCTAATTAGTACTATATTAATTAATACTATACATATATATGATATTAATAATTATATATATGTATACATACGGTGTTGTGCAATACCTAGGAACACCTAAGTACTGTGACTATGTATAAAAAGTATAGCAAGATAAGGAGGTAGGATTGCTATAGATCTGAAAAACCGAGAAAAGTTAGGGAAATTGAAATCAGTCATAGAAAACCGGGAAAAGTCAGGGAAAAGTGTAAAAGAGACTGGAATTTTTGAACTTTGCTCACAATTCCCTTAAACCCTCTTTTTATTCACAAATAATTTTTTCGATACTAATTTATTTTTTGTTGGCTTGAATTTGCCCCCAAAATTTTATTATGTTACTAAGCTTCTTTTGCGTTTTTAATAATATAAGCTAGCTTTCTTACAATCTTTCTAAATGTTAACATTTTTTACATATTTTATATTTGTCATGGAAATTTTTATCTGGAAAACCTGGAAAAGTCAAGGAATTTCAAAATTCATTTTTTGTGGGATTTTCAACCCTGGGATTTTCAGGTTCTGCATGTAAT